CTCGGGCGCCCCCAGCGGGCGGGGGGAGGCGGGGAGGACCTGGCCCGGTCCTGGCGTCCTGTCCCACGCGTGTCCTGTCCCTCGCGTGTCCTGTCCCACGCGTGTCCTGTCCCTCGTGTCCCGTCTCCCCGTATCCCATCCCTCACACCCCATCCCCTTGTGCCCCATCCGTCCCATCCCTTCACACCCCGTCCCCTCGCATCCCCTCTCACCCCATGACCCTCCACAGCCGACGCACCGCGCGCGCGGGTTTCGAACACAGAAATGCTCCAAGATGTCTTTTTATTATAAAGTCCGTCACCAATCTCTGTTCTTGGCAGTTCCGCAGCTCTGAGGCCTGCTACGGCCGGCGCGGCGCTGGCGCGGGGGGCATTATTAGGTGGTGCGAGGCCTGCCGCTCCCTCCCATGGCGATGAAGACGTCAATGGGGACGTTGGGCAGCGTCAGGCAGTGGCTGCCGGGGCATCGCCGCAGCTGCCTGCGGGGAGAGAGCAGCAGCGTGAGCCCAGCGTCAAGGCACGACACGGCAGGACACGGCATGGCATGACACGGCATGGCATGGCATGGCACGGCACGACACGGCACAGCCTGACATGGGCCAGCACGACATGGCATAGCACAACCTGGCACAGCCTGGCATGGTGTTGTCCAATATGGCATGGCATGGTGTTTTCCAATGTGGCACGGCACATCACCTCACAGGATGCTGCCTGCCCCAATAAAGCCCTCCGGCAGCAGCAGGCAGGCAAGCAAGCAGCCAGCCTGCCCTGTCGCAGGACAAGGAGGGGTTCGAGCCATCAGACGATGCTTTTGGGAGCAAAACAAGCCATGTTTGCCAGAGCAGGGACCTGTGCGATCGGGACATGGCGTGGCTGCGCCAGGGCCAGACCCTGCACCCCATAGGGTCTCCTGGCCCCGCTTACCTTCCCACAGACCGCTCAGAGCCTACCGGCTCCTGCGTTTCGGGAGGCACAGCTGAGCTGGGACAGTCGCCTGCCTCGATGGGGAACCTCCGAGCCTGCGGTGTCTGCTGGGAGTTCATGTCTGGGCCCTGGACTTGTCTGACCGGAGAGGAGTGGGTGGATGAGCTGGGAGAACACGAGACCCCTGGCAACGACGAAAGCACAGGGGGAACGTGGGGGGACCCCAGCCAGCCCCGTAACCTCCGCAGTGCCCACCCCAAGAGCCCCCGCTCACGGAGAAGGCGTTCCAGCCTGTCCCCCAACCTCGCTGCACATCCGCCACCCAACTGACACGGCGCCGGCTGCATCACAATAGCAACTCCAGGTTTTAAAAGGTTCCTCTGTGCCCCCCCGGGGTGCTGCAGGTGCTGAGATGCTGTTGAGTCGCTGAGGGATGAACTGAGGGAGCGAAGGGTCCCAGCCCATGCAAGGACATGGAGGGGTTTTTGCTTGCCAATGGCTACCAGCTCGGCAGGACCATTGGGGAGGGGATGTACTCCAAAGTGAAGGAGGCTTTCTCCCAAAAGCACCAGAAGAAAGTGGCAATTAAAATAATTGATAAGAACGAAGGCCCAGAAGGTAAGAGGTGACCCCGAAAGGGCTCCAGGCTGAGGCACTGTCCCTACTCGGAGGCTTTTAATTCCCAACAGAAAACTAGTTTCCCACACTTGCCACCTGAGAGCAGATGGGGCCGGGACGGGGTGTGGGGGGGGCAGTGCTGGGGAGTCCAGCAGAAGAGCTTAGGGCCATGGCCTGAGGAACAGGACCTGTTTATGCAGCTGCCCCTCCAATCACAAGGACAGCAAAGCGCTGGTGGAGCCCAGCACCGTCCCCCTCGACAAAGCATCCCTCGGGGAATGGGGCCAGACACTCCTCAACAACCTTCCCTCCCTCTGCCGAGTCCCAGAGGGGTGCCTGGAGCCAGCACCTCAGGGACTTCCCCGTGAGCAAACCTGCCTCCTCTCTCGGCAGAGTTTATTCACAGATTCCTGCCCCGGGAGCTCCAGATCATCACGCGTTTGAACCACAAGAACATCATCCGCGTGCATGAGATGCTGGAATCCGCAGAGGGGAAGATCTGCCTCGTGATGGAGCTGGCGGAGGACGGGGACATCTTTGACTACGTGCTCCGCGAGGGTCCCTTGCCCGAGCCCCGTGCGAGGACTCTCTTCTGCCAGCTGGTAGAGGCCATCCAGTACTGCCACAACAGCGGGGTGGCCCATCGCGACCTCAAGTGCGAGAACGCCCTGCTGCAGGGCCACACCTTGAAGCTGACGGATTTTGGCTTCGCCAAGCTGCTCCCCAGGGACAGCAGGGAGCTGAGCTGGACCTTCTGCGGCAGCACAGCCTACGCGGCCCCCGAGGTGCTGCAGGGTGAGCCCCACGACAGCTGCAAAGGCGATGTCTGGAGCATGGGTGTCATCCTCTATGTCCTGCTCTGCGCCCGCCTGCCCTTCGATGACACCGACATCCCCAACATGCTGCACCAGCAGCAGAAAGGCGTCCCCGTGCCCAGGCACCTAGAGATCTCCAAGGAGTGCCAGAACCTCCTGAAAATGCTCCTAGAACCAGATATGATGCTGAGACCCTCCATCGAGGGGGTCAGCAGACACCCATGGCTGACTAACGCCTGAGAAGGACTCGCCCTGCTCTCCCCAAATGGAACAGATTGTTTCTAAAATGACGATAAATTTGGAGGTCAGTGTTTCCCATCTATCTAGCCTCATGGGTGGTGTGCCAGGCCTCCGGCTGACAGAGGCAAGGTCTGGTTCATGCTAAGGCATTTTTATCGGCTCACTCAAAGCCCTCGGCCCTCAACAGCAGGGAACAGGGCAGACACGTCCTCTAAGCAGCCTGGGGTGGTGTGAATCCACCTTCCCGAGTTAAGCAAACCTTCCCTGAGGCGGGTGGGAGGAAAGGTAAAGTTAAAGCAGCTGACATGCAGACCCTCTTGTGGCAGTCATCCCCTTCCCACAAAGGAAATGAGAACACCCGACACAGGCAAAGACTCTGTAGAATTCCTTTAATTGCTGTTAACTGCAAGTCTGTAAAAGGTTTGGAGAAAGTCATCTTTACAAAACTACCAGCTGTTAGAATTGTTCCTGGTTTTCACCCCAGCTAGAAAAGGCTCAGGGAGATGCAGAATAGTTCAGAACAGAGAATATTGCACAGACAACCAAACGGTTAATTTGACTAAAGAGAAAAAAAAAAAGTGACACAGATGAGAGCACTGCACCCTCCGAGCTCTGCTGCAGGCCCAGGGATCCAGCTGCAACTCATACCATCAAACCCCGAAGGAACACAGCCCCAAGCCCCCTGTCCTGAAACCCCCACTGGTGTCATCTACCCACAACAGGTTTTCCTGCTATAGCTAAATTTGAGCCCAGGACAGGGTGAGGCTGCAGCACATTTCAGAGGCTCTGCCAGGCCCACCGTACACCAAGCAGGGGGAGAGTTGTAGCTCAGTCCCCAGCCCTTGTGTGTTTTGCAGGACAGACATGCTCTCATGTAAGTGCCTGAAGTCACTGCTGCCACCAATGCACCTGTGTGGGCAGCTGCATTCGAGAATCTCCCCAAAGGGGGAGGAAAAAAAAAAAAAAACACAACCCCCAACCACCAAAACCCCAACTCCTCCAAGTGCACCTAGGTTAATGCTATCCAAAACCAGAAAGAAACCCACAGCTCCAATGAACCAGCCCTGGAAGGGGCAGAAGGACAAAGGTAGCACGTATAAAACCACCACATGAAAGGCCAGAGACAGCAGTGAGGGGTCTGTCCCTTTAGGGTAACTGTATATTAACAACATCCACTGAGGAGCATCTCGTGACATTAAAAGGGAACTGCCCCAAAAAGAGAGGCCACAGGTCCAAAGGAAGCATTGCAAGCAGTCACAGGGGGCTTAAGCAAAGGAACCCAAGTGAGCACAGCGAGGCTTGTGACCCTGGTGGCCATGGAGCCTGGCACAGGTGGGACATGAGGGGAGTCAGATGAGTGGACAGATGCAGCCTCAGCCAGAAGGTACCACCCCGTACTTGGGTGCTTCTGCCTCCCCCCAGGCTGGGAGAGGGAAGGGACGAGCCTCAGTGCCAAGGCAGAGGTTAAAGTGGTCAGTGGGCCAGACTGGGGCTTTGCGAGGGCTGAACTGGGCACCGCAACGGAGGGGTTCTGCTCTCATGGTGACCCAAATCACTGCCTGCCCTGAAGGGCTCAAGTAAGAGCAAGACACACGTACTTTGCTTGGAGAATTTAACTAGAAGTACACAAAACCCAGCAGAGGAAGGCAGTGCAGCTGCAAAGGGAGCAGCAGCAGGCCCTGGCTCTTAGAGGAGCTACTGCTCTTGCAGCAGGAAACGGGAGTTTCCATTAGAAAAAGCTTCCAAGACAAAAAGCCAGGCAGAAGCTCAGGGTTTGGCAGGGAGTTTGGCTCCTTCCAGCAGGGCCCAGCTTTGGGTCAAAGCCACAAGTCAACTGCCTTTCTTTGCAGCAATGAGTGGCACAGCAGAAAGGGTTTCTACTGCAGCATCTCCAGCCACCAGCCACTCCCTGCATGGGGGCTTTCTCCAGGGATGGCATGGCCCACAGGACAGAGCAGCGAGCGAGCAGGCACAGCTTGCATCCAAGAGCCTTTGAACTGCTGTACTGTAGATTACACAAGCACACACAAGCAATCAATCAGCCAGCTGGCAGTCTGGCAGCATCAAGCAATCCTGCCAGGTGTCCGAGTGCCCAGCTCGCCCCGGGGACCCCTCGCCTGCATCACATCTGCCTCTACCCGACACTTTCGGAGCAGTCGGTTTTGGCTTGGCCAGTCTCTAGGACCTACTGAGAAGATGGGCTCCCTAGCAGCTAAGTGTATGAGTGAACTCTTGCTTCCTCCTCCTCCTCCAGGTCTGAAGGGGTCACTTGAGTTGCCCACAGGATTTAGCAGGAACGAAACTCCTCCAGCCTGGAACTGCTGCAATCCCCAGCACAGTTACACACAAAGGAACAGCCAGTCCGTGATTTAATTCACATTCGATGGTGGAAATGAGCCTGTGATACACACACTGGAAGCAGTTGCTTTATTCCCAGTCTTCCCACTCTTCATCTTCCAGCTGCAAATGAGAGTAACAACCCTCAGTTTGTTTCTGTAACTCAAGAGCCATCTGTCAACAGATCCTCCTGCCCAGGGCACCCGAGTCAGCACAAAGCCTGACATATCCTCACGCTCCCACACCCTCACAACAGGGATTTGCTTGCTCTGTTCACCTTGGGGAACTTGCACACTCATCCCTCTTTAAGCATGTCCAGACAGCTACTCTCTGCTCCAGCTAACACCCATGACTCCCGCGGTGAGATCCCAAGCTAAGCCTGTGTCCTCAAAGAGCAAGTAACGCCTTTGAGAAGCCTCCTGCGAGCTACTCTAGGCAGGCAGCTGCCTGCTGCAGTGCTGCCCTTCCAGGCCAGCAGCAGCCATGTCTCGCTGCAATGTGCTGCACAGCCTTGGCTCCAGCACAGGGACTAGAAGCGGAGCTGAAGCAGAGGGATTCGCCCTCTCGCTCCGAGGTACTGCAGGCTCTCTTCACCTCCCAGGGGAAGCACTCGGCAACGGCAGAACTCACGCAGCATCACCCCAAGGAGTTGCTGATGGTTTCTGGGAGCAACCTTCTTGCTTATTTGAGTGAGCACCTCCCCCCGACTCACCTCCCCAGACACTTCCACCTTCGAGAGTGCCAGCTGCACCTCCTCTTCAGTCATGTCCAAATCAAAGTCTTTTTCCCAGTCCTCACTGATATCAGTGCTGGAGCCTGTAACCACAAACGTCACGACTGAGCTGTCAGAGCTGCACATGCTCTCCAGACACTCTGGCCGAAGCACACAGCTGCCCAAGCAGGCCCACAAAGCCCTGGCATTCATGAGGCTCGGACCTACTGCAGTCTGCCTGAGGAGAGAAAGCCTCCCCCGTTCCCAACAGCAGCCTGTCAGCTCGCTAACAGAGATGGGATGGACTGAACTGCACTTCCCTTGCAGCAAGGGCTGGTTCAAAACAAGTGGGACAGGTGAATGCTGAAACATGTTTTCCTCTGGCCTGATAGAATTAGGACGTGTCACGTTTCAGTCATGCAGAAAACACAACAGATAAGGAATGACAGGAGTGACTTAGATATGGGGACTGTCATAGTCCCCAACGGAAAGAACAACCACCTGAGGCAGAGGAGCAGCAGGGACACTCCTAGGGGCGACATGCAGGGGGAAGGAAACACCATGCTGCCTACACAGACCACAGCCTTGCCCCGGCTTCCAGCAGGCCAGGGACCAAAGGCCTACTCTGTTCAGCCAGCAGACTTTTGATTTCTTGTCCAACTTCATTCTGCTCACAGACCCAGTTCATGATACTTGGCCACCTTGCTGGACCTTGGGTAGCCTAGAGCAGCTTTATAATCCTACAACCACCATAACCATTATTCTGGGAGACCTGCAGCAGGCTCTGCTGAAGGCAGTATCCCCTGCAATGAAAGATTTGTAAATAGTGTCAGCCAGAGCTGCAATGTGTCCTTAGTCAGGGTCCTGGAAGAGTCTCACCCTCCATTCTCCTGAAGCAGCACAGGAACAGGGCTCAGGAGAGGGCTCAGGCTAGAGCCAGCTATGGCACCAGCCCAGCCGCCTGCTGAGAGCAGATTGTCACCATCTGATGTGACCCACTTCACCCCACCCAAAAGCATAAGGATTTGCTTCCACTTTAATTTTGGCCATTAGACAGTCTTTGGATCTAACCTTCCTGGGTGATTTTGGCAAAACCCCTTTTTCCCTCCTCCACCATCACAAAATCAGGCCCTTTCCCCAAAAGTTGCCACCACCAGCAGGTTTCCAGGCCCTGTGCTGGCCCCACATACGCACCTTTCTTGCCATTGTTGGAGGGAGTGGATTTCCCACTATCCGAGTTCAGCTCAAAGACTCGTAGATCTGTTGGTCCTTCCTCTTTCACAGTCTCTGTCCTTCCCTGGGCTTTGCTCTCCACCTCTTTGAGCTCCGTAACAGACAGTTGCTCTGAGGATGCTGCTGACTCCCGCGTAGGTGCAGAAGGATGACCAGGTTCTGGGGGCTTTGGCAGGGAGCTCTGCTCTTCCGAGGTGGCCTCCAGCAGCCTCTGGGAGAGGTCTCCGGTCCCAGCTGGTTGTGCTCCAATCTGTAGCTGCGCAGCAGGCACAGAGGCAGGGTTTGCAATCTGAGTCACAAGGGAGATGCTCTCACTGCTCTCAGAGGGGCTCCCCTCTGCTGGGGCCAGCTCTGGAGGGAGGACGGCCCAGCTTTCCTCTGAGGGTCCCTTGTGAGCAGTGGGGTGGCTTCCCTCCAGGGCTGCAGGGGCAGATTCTTTCTCTGCTGCTTCTGGAAATTTCACGTTTGCACAAGGCAGGGGTGACATCCCCAAGAACTCCTCTGTAGGAAGGCAGAAGAGAAGCGAGAGATGTTTCAGCAAGCGCAGCAGCAGCTGACAGTGCAGCAGGGTTGGCTGTAGCTGGGCTGGGAGCTGAATTTCTGGGAGCGGGGAGGAGCCACCACCCTTTCTAACTGAGACCTGCTGAGGTCTGCACGAGCCCTCCCACAGATCCCCAACCATCTGACCCACCTTCATCCTCTTCCCAGCCTGGCTCCTCTTGGTGAATGCTCTGCTCTGCTCGCTGCTTCAGAGCCTCCCTCCGGGCTTCGTCCTGCAGGGAATTCAACATCAACAGCGACTCAGGTCCCCAGTCCTTTCTTGCCCCA